CTCTCCCTCAGCGGCTGGTATCCTTCGTCAGGAGCATATTGCAGAATCGGCACGCTCTCGACGGGATCTGCCAGCACGCGCTGACAGGCTGCTGACAGGAGGTCTGCGGGGAGCAGGTGAGGCGAGGGCCATCCGCGCAGGAGATTGATTTGCTGCTTCTTTGCTAAAGGAATTGGGCTGGCCATTTTCGCGGCTGTTGTTGCGAATGTGTGTCTTGGAGTTGGCAGTCTGGGTGAGAGTGGCGCTTTGAATTGTGTTAGTGGAGAGAGTCCGAGCCGCGGGTTGCGCAGTGATGGCATAGCTGGGCTCAGTGTGAGTGAGTGCTAAGCTTGTTGAAGAAACGATTGATGATGAGACTCACAGGTTAACAAAGGGCCTCTACACGCCCTATTGGCCGTTTAAGAGCTATTTACGACGAGAGATTAACAGTTATGAGGCGCAAGAGGAGGTTGGAGTGAGGAGTTTTGAGGTGAGCAGGTAGTACAAAGTGTGGGGTGAGATGAGAGGCTTGCTTTTACACGTCTCATTCGAAGCCAAGCCAAATTCATAGGAGAGGATTGAGTGAAGCTCAAGCATGCATGTGGAACTGAATATTAATAGTTACACTAAAGACTCTATTTCCGGTGAATTTTTATTACACCATGAAAGCAATCAGTCGTGGTCTCAGCATTTATCCCAAGCATCTCTTAGTCGCGAGTCGGCACTTCATGTAGCTTTCAACATTGGATAGTACCGTATCAAATTCATTCACTTGTTTATATACACTTCTTCACATCTCATACGGCGCCGCTCCCGGTCCAAACACCAAGTGCGGCTTCCTCTTTGCCAAATCCAAAATTGTCACGGCAAAAACTCCATTCGCCCAAGCAAACCAGCTCCGCGTATACTGGTTCACGTAATTGACATCGACACTCTCGTGAATCAGACCACGCGGAGATGCCTTTAACACCATGTCGATACACTCCTTAATCTCTTTGTCGTCATTTGACGTTTGCGCCTGAAGCAGCAGACTCATGGGCCAGGCGTTCTTCAAGCCAATATGCGGTCCTAAAAAGTGAAAACAGTCAGCCATTTTCTCATTTTGCTGGCCACTAGTGTGTAAAACATACCTCCGATTCCTTGGAACCCTCTGCCCTTCAAGTAATACGGGTTGCCTTGTTTATCCAGTATCATCTTCCTCGTATTCTGATACACCGGGTCATCTACGTCGCAGAAGCCCATTACTGGGAGCGCAAGAAGGGAAGGATAATTTGCATCGTCCATCAAGATGGAAGAGCCATATCCGTCAACCTCGTAAGCGAACACGTCGCCGTATTTCTTGTGCTTGACGACACCATGCTCCAGCACTCCTGCTCGCAACTTCTCGCTCCATTTACCAAGCTTAGTGGCCAGAGCCTTGTTGCCCGCAGCTTGCAGCATCTTGGCAGCCCGACCAAGCTCCACAGACATCATGGCATTCGCTGGGATGAAGAATCCTAGGATGGTGGCGTCATCACTTGGTCTGAATGCCGATCGAACCAGCCCCGTTCCACTATTCAGGGGGTTTCCGACGCCCTGAAGATTGAGTGTCTCGGTGCCAGCATTCGTCCACCGCTGGAAGGTATAGGTATTTCTATCATACTGGCCTGTTTCCGGGTGAAACGTCGGCTCTGATTGCTGCTTCAGCACCAACAACAGAGTGTCGACGGCAAGAAGCCACCGCTTGTTCACAAAGTCAGTGGCTCCCGTGGCCTCGTAAAAGTCGTTTGCCAAAGCCAGGAAGTGCGCCAGAGAATCGAGCTCGTACTTGCACTCGAACACAACACTCGGCTCGTATGCCGGGTGCACTATATCATCCTGGCCGTTGGCAGAGACGGACAATTCGCTGATGGGCGGCGGCTGGAAGGCATTGCAGTACGGCGACTGAATGACATACTCGGATTGCGTATTGATGGCTCCGACGATCAGGTCGAAGATGGCTGGATCTTTCTTGGCCAGGCCCTGGTAGGGACGCAACTGGTTTGTCGAATCTCGCAGCCACTCTGCAATGATATCGCCGGTAATGATAAAGGACTGCGGTCCTTCCCATGCGCCATCGTCCAATCGACGCCCATCAACCGGGACAAACCCCGTGTTCTTGCCACCCTTGGTGTGGAATTTGACGGTTGTGTCCGTTGTCGAGGGAAAGGTATTCTCAAATAGACGTGCCAGATCAGGGTCCTTGATCCTCGACGTCACCTCTTCGATGACTCTCTCGATCTCGTCTGAGTGAAACGTCCGACACTGCGGGCTGGGACGCTGGTAAGGCAAGGCGAGCGGGCCAGAGCTAAAGGGACGACTGTGCTTGTCAGATGCTGAGTACCGTCACTATTACTATGGAGGGCCAACAAACTGGGGATACGATGCGTAAAGCGCATAGTCGGGACATGCATCGGCATAGTTGAATGGGATTTGCGAATCGCCTCGACCGAAGACGGGCGTCACTGCGCCGATGCCCAGCAATGCAGCCGCCAATAGCGAAAGAGACATACTGGCTATTGGAGGGGTTTGGGAGGAGAGTCAAGGCGACGTTCCTCCCTGGGAATCAGGGATTAGAGGAGCCAGAAATAATCAATGTCAATTGAGTTGTGATGAATTGGAACACAAAAGTTCAGGGTATGGCGGCATTATGGTAGCAAAAAAGCATCCATGTGGCAATTCGGGCCCTGCATGCACTACAATCCCCCACTACGGAGTGCTGCATCCGGAGCTACTAAAGAAAGTCTGGAGCTGTTTAGAGCTGCCCCCAGCTAGCTACAATCGGCACTAACACTGCTACAGTACGTCATACCTCAACGTTAATGCCATCTGAAAGCTACCGAATAATAAATGCAGAGCACGTAGCAGATCATGTGTGAATATGATGGTCCAGAAAAAGGATGGAATGGTAGTGTTTTCTTTTTCTTTTTGCTTCACTAAATGCTATGGAATTATGTACACATTGGTCCATCCTACGTCCGGGTATCACCAACCAATTAATCGTACATCGTAATTATTAACCAAAAGAGAATGAAGCAAGAGAAGGAGTTCCATTGAGCTTTCACGGGAAAAGGTCCTCAACCAAACAAATTAATAATAACAGCACGCTTGATCCAAATTCCAACAATTCCAATGAGCCTCCAGAACTCGCATCACCAACCCCACGTACGGCTCGATGCTGTAAATACTGGTGGCTTCCACTGAATCTTGAGAGGATCGAGAACCCTTTTCCGTTTCAACTTTTGCTTTTCCCGCTGCTCAATCAACCTCTCCGGAATCACGATCTTGTGATCACTCTTATGATACACTTGCATCTTCATGGCCTGTAGCGTGTGCTCCACGTCCTGTGTGGTCATCGCCAGCGCCGTCGAGATTGCTTCAATCGTCACTTTCTCATCCCGTTCATTGTAGCCAAGCAGTAGGTCGAGAATATTCTCAGACCAGTATTGACGATAGCTGAGAAGGCCAAGATCGGATAAAGGCTTCTCTGGGGAGCCCAGTTTGCCTTCAATCTTGGACAGCTCATATGAAAATTGAATCAAGAGACGGCCATAGCCCTTCCGCTGGTATTGTGGAAGTGTCAGAATACAAGCCACGTTGTATGCATCTGCACTTTCCTTTTCCTTGGAAAAGTATCCTACAATATGGCATCCCTTGTCTGTCCGCATCGTCATGACATAGAATAGAAAGGGGTCCACGTCGTAGTAGAGCGTCTTGTGGTCCAGGAACATCTTGGATAAAAGACAAAGGTTACGACACCAAGTCCGCTGCCGCCGTCCATCAATCTCAAAGAACGAGACGTAGTCATCTCGATAGATCTCATTGCCCGGCGGATGCTGCAGCGTACACTTCTTTCGGTGTCGGGTGAAGGCGAATTCATCGCCATAGTAGCTAAGGCAGAATTCGCAGATATATATAACGTCCTCGAGCGCAAAAATCTCGGGGTACGGCGAAAAGTACCATGGAAACAGGTCGTTCTTCCCAAACTGAACTTTTGAGATGTTTCGTATTCGCGATATTTCGGCCGGGTTTTGTGTCATCGATCCCGAAGTCCTCAGTTTCTCAATTTCCTCCTCTCGACTAAAGCCATGTTCATCTTTCTTTCCTTCGTCTTCCTTCTCATCGGCAAGCAGGTCATCTCCTGCGCCTGGTGTTGCGCTCGCCTCAAAACTGACGCCCGCTTGCGACTCTGCCTCTGGTCCAACCGATGAAGATTTTCGCTGCCCCTGCGTTTCGACAAATTCTGTGCGCATGGTTCATGTGGTTAGCAACTTCAACTGCTATCTGAAAACGCCAAATCATTGATAGATGGGGGCTGGAGCCAAGACTTACCCGTCCATGGATGTGGTGTAGTGGCCTCGCTGTTTACTGATTGCTCGCGTTTGCCTGGCCGCTTCTGCGCTTTCTTCGAAACTTGCGACTTCTTGGGCTGATTTGATGGGACTTTTTTTGTTTTCGAGTCTTTGGGCTTGTCTTTCTCGGGATTCGGCCATTCCACTTCCTGAGTGAAATCAATCCGCGCAACCGGAACCCATTCATCCAAACGCTTGTTGAAGTTGTCAAAGTTGCAGTAATAGTGCTTCCCCGACTTTGTTTCCTTTATGCTAAGGATTTCAGCTCGTCGCGGCTGGCCATCTTTCTCGACCCAGGCAATGCAGCCTGTCTTCAGTGTCTCGGGGGTCGCTTTGCCCTTTTGGCGGGGTGTATCGGAGCCTACGGATGGCTCGCCATGGGGAGTGCCGCCACCCATGATGGAAAGGCTGGAGTGGTTGGTAAATGGATGGATGGAAGAAGGTTGTAGAAATTCAAGATTGCGATTTAGAAGGTGGCAGAATATGGCGATTTCCCAGCTGCATCACATGTCTCTAGCGTCGGATTATCCCTTATCGGAAGGCGGTGAAAATAGAGCGCCCCATTATAAGCATTCAATCTGGTTTGAAGAATATTATAGCTTTGTTAATAAAACTCAAGGTTCATCAACATTTCTATATAAACTGACATGTGATGCGCCTCATGGACAGATGCTTTTATGAAAAGATTTTTTAGGCCGCTGTTTGCAAGGATGGCCGAGCTTTCTTCTAACTGGAAAAAACTTCAAGCTCAATTAACAGCTGAGGCAGCCTCCAAGCCTTCAACAAAACGAAAGGCTGAAGAGCAGCTACAATCCTCACTGCGGAAAAAGTCGTTTGAAACATCCAAGAGCAAAGCCCCTAAACCGCTAAATCGAAAAGATAAGCCGCCTGTTCGTAGAATGGGCGGTGTCCAAAGCTCGGCAGCGATAGAAAAACCGAAGCAAACTCCATCACCATCCTTGGCGATTTGGGCTGAAGATCATGGGGTCTCTGCGGAGGATTTGGCAGAGGCGTATGGCCTAGGTGTCAAAGGAAATTCTCTGATGTTTGCCTCTACGAAAGACAAGGTGAATCACGGTCTTACCAGTGGACTCGAGATTGGAAAGTATGTCGCTATCGACTGCGAGATGGTAGGCGTTGGTCCCGGCGGACATGAATCAGCGCTGGCACGCATCAGCATCGTCGACTTCCATGGACGGCAAGTGTATGATTCATACGTCAAGCCGAAAGAGCGCGTCACCAACTGGAGAACAGCCGTCAGTGGAATCTCTCAAAAAGAAATGAGATTTGCAAGAGACTTTGACGAGGTCCAGAAAGAAGTCAGCGACATTTTGCAAGACAGAATTCTCATTGGCCATGATATCAAGCATGACTTGGATGCCCTCAAACTCAGCCACTCTCTCAAGAATATACGCGATACCGCCAAATATCCGGCGTTCAAAAAATATGGCCACGGCAGGAAACCCGCACTGAAGATCCTCGCCAAGGAAATTCTCGGCATCGAAATCCAAAGTGGACCGCACTCTAGTACTGAAGATGCCAGAGCTACTATGCTTCTGTTTCGGAAGCACAAATCCGGTTTTGACATGGATCATGTCAACCGATTTGCTCCAAAGCAACCAACAAATACCGGCGCATCTCGTCTTAAAAAGAAGACTAAGAAGAAGTCATGATACAACATCAAGTTTGCATATGTCCTGAATACTTGAATACCCTCCTCTGTCGTATCAGGGGTGCATTTCTGAATAGCGTAGATCGGATATCTTTCTCAAAACTCCCCCAAGGAGTTTGATCTCTGGAGTCTGGGCGTTGGCGTGATGGCTTCCAACCCTTTCTACTTTTTCGATAATATATGAGCTCTATGAACTTAGAATACTACCCGGGCCAAATAATCCAGCGAAATGTTATGATGCATACGCTAATTCCAAATAACTTTGCACACGATCAAACTAAGTAGCAACATGACCTCGTCTCATCGTCCCTCGTATTGCACTCCATATAGTCCTGAAATGCCATCTTATAATGCACTTGACGATAAGTACGAAGTATCAAGGAGACTCTGTATACGCAACCAGCAATCGATCAAATATTAGAAGAATTGGAAGAAGAGAAATCGAATGCTTCTAGTTTATATGCCTTGTATTGTCTAGAACGTGGGTATCATGAAGTAATCTTTTGGCATGATTCAACAGCCCATCTCTTGCCAAATCTCATCTCGTTCTTCATTTCGACTCTCCCTTATCTGCGGTATCATAAGAATGTATCTGTAAAGGTTGCATTAGCCCATTGCGTCTTCACATATGCTTGCACGCCAACTTACACTATCCGATACTTGAAGCCACTCTTCCACGTTTCTTAGGTAGGGGTCTGCTGAAGCATCTGTAACTGCGTCATGCGACCAGACAACCATTTTATCAAATTCTGTTACGGTGTGCATTGTTCCCAGTATAGGAGCCGAGCCCTCATCTCCGTCCTCTCCTATCATGATGATATCTGGTTGCTCGGCATCTTTTTGTTCGTCGTCTTTTCGCTGAAGAACAAAGCCTCGATAATTCGGAGGTAATGATGCAACTTTTCCCTGAAGCTTCCGCCCTCGAAGATATGCCGTCTTATTGTCGTCTAAGAGCAGGAGAAATATCAGAGTTGTGGTCATAACCAATGCTCGCGGATTCATCCTACTCACTCTCATCTATAGTGGGATTCCAATAAGCTGAAGATGGCCCGATAGGACCTGTGTGCTGGACGCGGCAAGGAAGCAAGTTGACAACGCCCTCGCTTGGGGTAATTTCATCCTTTCGGATTTCAAGCATTGACGGCTGAGACATGATAATTTGTCAATTGGGCCCTGTATGGCAACAATATTGGAGCTGGATGAATATCAGCAGCAATTTACTGATTGAACCCGAGGTCGCGTCATCCAGAGAGCTCGGCGCGCTGCAGCTTAATGAATTCGTTATCTAATCTGAGATCTCCGTACAATGCAATCAATTTAAATTTCGCGTCACGCTAGCCCTTGAATAGAAACCCCAAGACGCGCTCCACACGCGTCGTTCCCCTCTAAACCCAACCCACCTCAGACTCCAAATTTGGGTACGATAATCCATCTTCGCAGCCTTTTTGCATAGCGACCTCCGTTGCCTCAGCACTGCAGCGTCCCGGCTGATGCACATGCTCACGACCTCACTGAAGCTTCTCTAGGCCATTATCTCGCTACAAGCCACAATGGCTACCCCCGGCGATTCCAACTTCATGATGTCGGACGGCTTGGCCCCGCAGAGGCGGCCTGGAGGTTTCCCCTCGTCCTCATCAACTCGTCCCCGCGGCCCGCCGTCAGAGAACATGGGAACTCCTCGGGACGATTATGGTGATGCTGATGGATTTGCCGACGACCAGCTTCCTCGCAGCTCGCGCATCCCGGATGCCGCTAGTATTCCCAAGGTGGAGGATCGCATCGGCATGCTTGTCCAGGAACACTTTGAGGGCTTCATTGAAAAGTGAGGTCATCTTGGAATTGCCTATGCATTGACGTCTAGCTAACCAATATGCTTGTTTCTTAGCTTCGCCGAAGCTCCTCTGTCATCGGGCGCACCCCCCTCGAGTGCCGTCACAACGAACAAGTACTACATTGCCCAGATAAGGGGTATGAAAACGTACCAACTCTCAACCTTCTACGTCGACTACAAGCATCTGGCCTCTTGGGAGAATGGTAGTCTGGCAGACGGTATTATCCGCCAATACTATCGTTTCCTCCCCTTTCTCACCGCCGCATTGCATAACATGATTGCAAAATATGAGCCACAATATTTCCGCGAGCATCGACAAGCCACCACATCCAGCAAGCTGAGCACTTCTGGAGCCAGCCAGTTTGGTTCAGGAACGCAAAGTGATTTGTCCCAAAGGAAGAACGAGCATCAGCAGACAGACAAGCTGTTTTCCATTGCCTTTTATAACCTACCTCTTGTCTCGCGCATTCGAGCCTTGAGAGCCGCCAACATCGGCCAGCTGCTCTCCATCTCTGGCACAGTTACGAGAACCTCAGAGGTTCGGCCTGAGTTATCATTGGCCACGTTCGTCTGCGAGGCTTGCCGTGTTGTTGTCCCCAATGTCGAGCAAACATTTCGATACACTGAACCAACACAATGTCCCAATCAAACTTGCCAAAATCGTGTGTCATGGCAATTGGACATTCGTCATAGCACATTTGTTGATTGGCAAAAGGTTCGCATCCAGGAAAACAGCTCTGAGATTCCCACGGGTAGTATGCCTCGTACCATGGACGTCATTCTGAGAGGCGAGATCGTCGATCGTGCCAAGGCTGGTGAAAAGTGCATCTTCACTGGCGCTCTGATTGTGGTGCCCGATGTCAGCCAGCTCGGTCTTCCTGGCTTGCGGCCCACGGCGGTTCGTGATGATCGCGGCGCCCCTCGTGGAGCCGATGTCGGTGGTAATGGCATCTCAGGCCTCAAGGCTCTTGGAGTTCGAGATCTGACATACCGCTTGGCATTCCTTGCGTGCATGGTTGCGCCAGATACCACTTCCACTGGCCAATCTGCTGCCAGCGGCGCCATCGACGTTGTCAATGCTCTTACTCAGAATAATGGCAATATCCCCGAGGGTACTGAGTCAGTCGAAGAAGCTCAGGCCGCCGTCCTGGCGTCCATGAATCCATCCGAGATTGAGGACCTGCGAGCTATGGTCCACGGTGATCATATCTATTCTCGACTGGTCAATTCTATTGCGCCGACAGTGTATGGACACGAAGTGGTCAAGAAGGGTATCCTCTTGCAGCTCATGTCTGGTGTCAGCAAGACTACGGCTGAAGGAATGCAGTTGAGAGGTGACATCAACATCTGCGTCGTTGGAGATCCTTCGACGTCCAAGTCCCAGTTCCTCAAATATGTGTGCTCCTTTGCGCCACGTGCAGTGTACACCAGCGGCAAAGCCTCGTCTGCTGCCGGTTTAACGGCCGCTGTAGTCAAGGATGAGGAGACGGGAGAGTTTACCATTGAGGCCGGTGCGCTGATGCTTGCCGACAATGGTATCTGCGCCATTGACGAGTTCGACAAGATGGATATTGCTGACCAAGTTGCTATTCACGAAGCTATGGAACAGCAGACAATCTCAATTGCAAAGGCGGGTATCCAAGCAACGCTCAATGCGCGTACAAGTATCCTGGCTGCCGCCAATCCAGTTGGAGGCCGCTATAACCGGAAAACCACTCTGCGTGCCAACATCAACATGTCAGCGCCCATCATGTCTCGTTTCGATCTATTCTTTGTCGTTCTTGATGAATGCTCTGAGTCGTTTGATCGTCACCTTTCGGAGCATATCGTAAGAGTTCACCAGCACCGTGACGAAGCCATCACTCCAGAATTCAGCACGGAGCAGCTCCAGCGGTACATCCGATTTGCGAAAACATTCCGGCCCGAATTCACAGATGAGGCGAGAGAAACCCTTGTTGAGAAATACAAGGAGCTGCGAGCCGACGATGCCCAGGGTGGTGCCGGAAAGAACTCTTATCGAATTACTGTTCGTCAACTGGAGAGTATGATTCGTTTGTCCGAGGCTATTGCCAAGGTCAACTGTGTTGAGGAAATAACCCCCGAATTCGTCATCGAAGCCTACAACCTCTTGCGCCAGAGTATTATCTCTGTTGAGCACGATGATATTGAGATGGAGGAGACAGAAGATACCGTGGAAGATAGCGAAACACTGCTCCGTGCTCAGGATGCTGCTCTTGGAGTTGCCCCTGCGGAAGATCACGAAGGTGACGCGGCCATGGCCGAAGGTCAAGATGAATCACAGGTTGCGCCCAGGAAGAAGCACACCATCACTTACGACATGTACATCCAAATGGTGAACATGTTTGTCCAGAGGATCAGCGAAGATGAGGCTGGCACCGGCGACGGTGTCGAGGGCAGCGTCTTGATCAATTGGTATCTAGAGCAGAAAGAGGCAGAGATGGACGGAGAAGAAGACTACAACAGGGAGAAGACTCTCGCACACATGGTTCTGAAAAAGATGGTCAAGGTAAGTTTTCAGCTGCCATTTGGGCTACCAATTACATATGTCCCCCTTTATGAGATGTACATGCAATCTAACGAGGCTCTCTCCAATAGGAAAAAATCTTCATGGCGCTCAGGGGCGAAGGTCTCACTGAGGGCGCAGGTCCCTCAACGCCTATGAACGTCATCTATGTTCTACATCCCAACTGTGCCATCGAAGAGATGTAGACCAGGACGGTAGACTCTCCGTAGAGTATTTGGCTATAGGCTGGCAGTCCTACAATAACGTTTTTAACTAGTTATTTATGCTTACCATTTGGAGGTAACATGACCTACGGAAGGAGGGGGTGGGAATAGGTAATGCGATGATATAACGAGCATGAAGGGAGTTTGGAGTTGAACGGATATATAAAAACAAACAAACACGTGTCAAAAAGGATGTTGGAAGGGGTGCATTAGAATAACGATCTATGGGAAAATCGTTGGATCATGGAAAACATCAAGCCACGCATTGCAATGCCTAGGGAGATGGGGAGAGAAAGATTCTTCGTAATGAGCAAAATCAAAACATTTTTGTTATGTTTCTGTACAATACTGCACTACTTCGCGGCATGTATGAACGAGCTAAGTAGCCTGTTGTCCGACCGTGTTTTTTCCCTTTTCAAAGGCCCCCATGACCAACCAAAGGCCTCATCCATCGCTTCATGGATGTAGATAGAGGACCCCGTAATTCATATCTGTACTCATACAGTTCGTTTACCTCAAAAGCCCTGCCCATGAAACAAAAGGGCCAACTATCAAATCAGGGAGAAAAAGGTTTCCGTCATGGCATTGCAAAAACTGCACTACGAACGCGAAGATATAAGTAGAATTCTTCTTCTTCTCTCTCTTTTTTTAGAAATTCCCATCCCTTTTTGCCCTTGCAGACAATGCCCCTTTCTTTAAAAGGGGAGGATTGGTACTTGATGGTAGTTGGGTAGGCAGAGACAGTGAAACACGAAAAATGAGAATCTGACCCGATTAAACGAGCTTAATTACAGACGAGCGATCCTTTTTGCATCGGGAATAGTCGTCTTTTCTTCCCCTTCCTTTTTACTCCTCCTTTCCTCCTTTCTGTTTTACAATGTCTCTAGGGACACTGACTGGGTTGGTACCATTAAGAAACCATGTGCTATCACAACGCGTTTAAAGGTGTACATACACGTCTCTGAGCCATCCGAAACCATCGGATTCAACGTACACAGAGACAACTAGACAGTTAACAAGTCAACTCTCATCTCCATTCCTGAATAGCGAGAAATCAGAAGCTATCGTATCAATACCCCATTGAGCTGGGGTAAGGTAGAGGGGGAAAAAATAAAGTAAGCAACCCCTGATGTTCGTATGTTGCCGGTACATAAGGAGCCGGCTATGACCCCTTCTTGGGTTCCACAACAAGATCGTTGAAAGGTGTTTGCGAAGAGCTCAGCTAAGCAGATGAACCTGACTCACGGGGCTGCGAAAACCGACTCCAGTTATCAGATCTATCAGATCCGCGACCACGATATCCGCCCCGGCTGCCACGGCCAGTGCTGCTTTGACTGGCAGCATCTCCGTAGCTGTTAGAAAACTCCCTTTTGCTGCTGCCATTGCCACTACCACCACCTCTTCCGCCTTCTCGAGGTCCATGACCACCACCACGGTGTCGTGACGATGGCCTATGAGTCCCTCGCCCGCCTCTCGCCGCAGAAAGTGGGATGGTGGCCACCCTAGGCTCACTCATCCCTGGAAAGTGAATTCTCACGGCATTTGCGCCGCCAACAACCTCTGCTGCGAAATAGTATGGTTCCACGAAAGATGGTTGTACGAAGAACCTCTTGGGCATTGGCTTTATTACTGCCGCGGGCTGCCATGCTGCTTCTGGTGCCTTGTGCGGAAGCCTAATCCGTGGCAGAGAGCCCATTTCCTGTTCTTCAAAGCATTCCTCCGATATAGGCTTGGAAGTCAGCGTCAAAGAGCCGTCCGCTGAGTGTTGTTCTATCGCAATAGGCATGGATACGGTTGCAGGGTGTTGCACTGTTACAACAGGCAGAGATACGGTTGTAGAGTGCTGGTTGGTGGTATGATCCAATGCACTCCGACTAGCAGGATCTATTCCCATATGTTTCGGCGGAGACGCTTTTCCACCATTGAGAAGAGTATTGATTTTATCCTGCCAATTTCCCTGCGACGTCTCGGAAACACGTCGTGCAGAGTAAGTGTGAGGGATGGGGGCGCGTGATATCTCTCTTCCTGTAGCCCGGTTGGCCCACGGGTTGCTCGCCTTAGCTTGTAGTGCCTGAGCAGCAACCATGGAAGGAGGTAGCTTGACTACTGGCTGCGGCTTCGGTAATGACACATGTGGACGTGAAATATCTCCCTCATATACCGGGTGGCCTTCCATAGTTGGCGGGGGAGGAGATGGTGAAGATGGTCGAATAGGCTCAACCATGCCTGTCTCAGTGCGAACATCTCGAGCAGGGAAGAACCGAGAAGGCCGCGACTGAGGTGTTGTGGTCGGGCCATTAGGAGGCAGGACAGAACTGCCGGGCCCATTTCCAAGAACTGCGGGTTGGCTACCTGCAATAGAATCGTCCGTGATATTCGACTGAACTTCACTGGAGCTTACGGCACGCCTGGTGCCATCGCCAGGGATGTGAACGGGGCGCCATGTATCTTTGATAACTGGCTGGGCATCCTCGACAGAGACTCCACGCTCGGCTAGCTGGCGTTCACGAGCTGTTCGTTCGGCCAACTTCTCTGCACTCATCCTCTTGTCGTTTTCAGCCACAGCTGTCACCCATTTACTGGCAAGCTCTGTTCCTAGATTTCCATATCTTGTAGCACGCGAACCAATAGGCGCGGGTACTTGATTTCGGTTGTGAGAAGATTGGACTGAAGTTGGAGGGGCTATGGGGGCAGGGGCATTATTCGTTGAAGTCGGCTGGGCGGGCGCGCCGGATGCACGTCCAAGGTGAGGATTGAACGTGCCATTCCCAAGTCCGCTGTCGTTGTCTGAGGAGCTCCACACATTCCGTGGCGTGCCAGCAACCCATGACGAGAATCGGTCTGGCCGGTTGCCCCAGTTGCTGGCAGGTACCGAGTCTTGACTGTGAGATAGTCGCCTAGCTGTCGGCCCAGGCGGCGGGGCGATGTGTGCTGGTGATGAAACTTCTTTATGGCTGAACCCGGGCTTCTCAATATGCTGTACGGCGGCTGCGTTATCCTTACCCGAATCTGCTTGATCTGACCTTGCTTTTGCTGTGGGCGTATCTCTTTGCTCACTCGGAGCCGGTTGCTGGCTCGGCGTTGGTTTCGCTGCGTGATCCTTGGGTGCCTCTTTCGCCTCGCTCTTCTTTTCAGGGGGAGGTCCCATCGCTTCCAGTTTCTTTTGTATACGCTCTCGGCGTGCGGCCTCCTCCCGAGCCTCTTCCTCCTGCCTCCGTTTCCTAGCTGATTCAATGCCTTCACGCATCAGTTTCTTCTGTAATTCAAGGTCATCTTCAAGCTGGTGGGAGGGAGGTGGTGCATTATGCTCAACATGTGGGGGTCCATGATGAGGAGCGGCATAAGTTGTTCCAGGAGAGGGCAATGGCTGGTGTCTCGACGGTCCCTGGCTCATCACAGACGCTGCCACAGGAGAGACTGGACTCTCTAGGACGGAACCTGCTAGGGAACCTCTCCGAGCACTGAGAAATTCGGGTGGCGGTGGTATAGAGCCATCGTTTCCCTTGTTCAACCGCTGCAAATATGATCCACTACCACCGCTAACATTGGAAGAGCCGCGACGGCGTCCAAAGGGCACATCCTGGGCGGTACGACTAGTTTGAAACGCGGCAGAAGGCTCGGCTGGGTGGTCTTGTGGAGGTGCACGCTGTAACAAGGCAGGATACCTAGTCTGAGAATCAGATCGCATTGACGGTCGTCGATCGGTAACTGGCTCATATCGTCCGGACCGAGAGTTGAAGAGCTCCTTGTTTCCATAAGAGGATCTGTCTCTCCAAGTCGAGCGAGAATAATCATCTACTGCCATATCTCGGGGTGGTGGAGGGCCCATGTGGCTGGCGAAAGACGACTCTCTTAGAGCCCCCCGAGGTGGATATGCAGCCTCTATAGCTCCAGGAGATGTTTTTGCAACAGGCGGCAAGGTAGCCCATGGCGATTTAGCAGGCGCAGGAGGTGCTGGAGGTTTGGCTACGAGAACTGGCTTCTCCTGGGCAGCGCTCTTGAGAACCAACCCTTTCCCTGACGGAAGGCCACCTGATTTTGGCACTGGTGTGCTGGTTGTACCTGGTGGTGCCGGAGAAGATGGCTTGTCTTCGGCGACGCTTTTGCTCACATCTGGCGTAGGATCTGCTGCTCGAGCCGCCGTCTCGTCAGGGTGAGGAAGAGTTGTCTTGGTGCCATCTCCCCAGGTGATGGCTTCGGGTGCCCAGTCATCGTCATCGTCATCGATATCTGCCCACTTATTTTGCCCTTGGGTATCTTCTTCGTTCAGGCGACTAGCCATATGAATTCCATACTTCTTGAGCTCTTCGTCTGTAAACTTCTTTGGCTCCGGGGGAGGAGCAGCTATAAAACACCAAACATGAGATTAGTTCAAAGAAAGCCTCCTCTAACAGCATCGATTTCACCTACGCCTATTCTTATTCCAAACAGCATTCGGATCGGGTGCAGCAGCAGGCTTGCCGCCATTCGCCAGTGATGAGAACCGCGGAGATGAGGCACCAGTACCGCTACCAGACTTTGCAACTAGACGTGGTCGTGATATAGACAAGGTAGCGGAGCCGGTCGGCGGGGTACTCGAGCCCGCAGCTGGCTTGTCGTTTGTCTTGGTTGCGACGCTGGGATTCGCCTTGGAAGCTAAAAAAGTCTTGTTGACAGAAACGGCCTTGAATGTCGCTGGCTTCTTTGCTGAGGACCCAGCGCGGCTCTGTCCTTTGTCGCCATCCTTTGCGCGCGACGCCTCGGTATCTGACCCCCCACTCACACTGACGTCGGCAGAATTGATCTGGTCCTCGACACTCAAGATGCGCTTGTTTGCGATGTCTTCGGGGAGTGGGGAGCCGCCGTTTACAGCTGGGGGGACTAATTCGCCATGTTGGGAGTCGGGCGCCTGCAAGTCAAAGAGAGCATCACGTTAGCACATCTCAGAGCACACAATGTCCCGTTACACATGGGGGTTGGGAAGCATGTCCACGCCGACGCCGCTACAAAGACGTCGTGCGGCTTCTAGAAGAACATGGGAGGAGGCGCCTCACAGATTGCAGTTCAGTCGAGGCAAACACATCAGCTGAGTTGTCGGTGGAGGGCTCAGTGGCCATCATCCGTCGTGGTGGCAGGTGTGCGCCGGTGGGAGCCGTAAGATGCGAACTCTCGCCCGAATCCAAAGTCAAAACCAAATCGCCTTTCGAGATGTTCGCCTATGAAGGTGGCTTGACAGTGTGCCTGTCTGCCTTAAGCAACACTCAAAAGCTAGCCTGCAGCGCGGTGTCGACAAGGGTGGAGGAGAAGAGGAGGAGGGGGAGACGGATCGCGAGGTGGAACGAGCTGGCAATATCGAAGAATAGGCGAAGGCGGCGCAAGTTGCAGCGGAGGCTTCGGGGGGAAATCCTCTCTTTCAGGGCCTCGCAATGCGGGTCGGTTTCGGTGAGAGGAGTCGTGAATTCGGTCGCGGGGGATTGGGGGAGGAGAGGCTGAGATGTGCTCTGCAGTCGTGATGGTGAGGTGGAAGCGACTGATTTTCGAAGCTGCACAACTTGGTTCTGGCCTAGCGCTGAGTGGGAAAGTTCCGCCTGATTAGGGGCCCGTGCGTCACTGTCACTGTGGACAGCCGCACGCAGCCTGAATGGGCTACGCCCACCTATTGTTTAGGTGGCTCTTGGGGACGTGGGCAGCAGCTTTTTGGGGGGTTTAGACCTTTGCACAGTGTCTGTGACTTTTGCACGTATTCCCCGGAACAAGGCGCTCAATAGTCGATGTCAATACCACCAATTGCTGACCACGTCAGGGCTGAATAACATTCATGCATATACTAAAAGGTTGAAAGCGCCAATTGCTGTCATGGTATATTTCCAACGAAAAAGAATCCAGGATATATTTTGTTTCCAATGGCCCTGTATTCACGCTGCTGTCAGCTAGGCAGTCAGCGTCAGCAGATGCCTGTGAAGTGACTCATTGGATGGTTGATCAGGCTCGGGCTGAGTCGATTTCAGCACCTGACAATAATTATAAAAGACCAGTCACACTTTTCAAAGACTTGGCAGCTGTTAGCAGTACTTTTCGTTAAGGAACCATTTTTCCGCATATTTTGTGCATATTCATGACCTCACTATTCCCAACGCCGCTTGTTTCTTGGTCCAATAACAAGACGAGAAGCAAGGAGAATATGAAGTGGTCCAGCGAATAGAATGGATGTCTTGCATCACTTCAGCATCATCGTGTAGGAGAGGGGGAAAAGATAATTCAATGCGTGTCTGATAGTACATAAGGAAGTCCGGGCGTGGTCATATCCCAGCACCGTTCTAGAGTCTATTTACATGGCCACTCATCATATGGAGAGTGGCATCAACAAACCATCCTCCATAGTACTTTAGTGGGCATTGTTCTTGTGGTGACCTATACAGGGTATTAGCCAAGGAATATCGAGCAATGAATAACCAGATGTACGTACGCAGGTGGAAGTAGTAGTTTTGAGCGTAACCGATGCCGATCAGGAAGAGCAGGGCGTGCACGATAGCTGCAATTTCGATGCATGTTAGCATGTATTCCGCATCCAAGCCGTTGATTTGGGTAATATCGTACGAGTAGCAGAGGCGTTCTTGCCAAAGTACTTGGCCTGGTAGCGTCCGAGAAGACCCTTGCCCTTGATCTCGGGGGCGGCACCCCGGGGAAGCTTCTCGTAGAAGCTGACGACACGCTGCATGCGCAGAGCGTCAGGAGCAGCACCGATTGCCTAGCATCGAGTATTCTTCGTTAGCCCAATGTTCCATTGTCCCGCACGCCATCCGATCCGAGGAGGCTCGCAACCGCCTTCCTCGCACGACGACCCATTTCTGCCCTGCTGCGTTGCGTCCTCTTCGAATCATGTTGACATGTATGGTCCGGCGGTGTTTTCAAGCATTAGGAGTATCTCGTACCTTAGGGGAGGCAATCTACAAAGACTTTTATTAGCACAACCAGACATGGATGAATTGACATGCCACCAAAGGGTCTCACCTTGGGGGGAATGAGCGTGGAAAGCGCTCGGCGAGTGACGAAGCTCATGATGTCGGATTGCGAGGAAAGACGCTCGAAAGTCTGGCCGTCAAATGTCGAATGGGCGCTCAATGGGCAAGGTCGTCGATAAATCGCTGGATTTGCATTATTCGCAGGCCGAGAGGTTCTCTTGCCGAAAAGCACTCGTCTCGGCAAAACATCGCTCCGCACCGCCCAATCAGCGCTCTCCATTTTCGGCCCAGCCAAGGTTGAACATTGGCCGCAAACCACCATCATCGCCGTCACGGACAACCAATTTCCTTCCAATTGAGAGGCACAGTTTCTTCGCCATGGCGTCTCTCAGAACTCAGTCGGCCGCCCGCCTGCTGCGCAATGCCGTGCGCCCGCGGCTAGCTTTCGCCTCCGTGCCCCGCCGCTTCGAAAGCACCGTGGGCAAGCCTGCCGATGTTGTTCCCGCCATGCCCAGCGCCAACCAGCCCGACTACGACGCACCTGTCGACAAGGCTACCTCGTACGGAAGCTATTCTACCTCTTCTGTTGATGATACCGGATGCTAACGGTGCGCAGCACATTCTCTCCGGTCCCCAAGCGTGTACAGGATGGCACTGAGGAGGTTCTCGCTGCCGCCACTATCTCGGGTGCTCCTATCGAACTCCAGGCAAGGACGGTCCGGTTAGTTTGATCTTCGACCTGCTTGTCTCAAATGTTTGCCCCTCTAATTCAATCATCTAGTATCTACAAGGAGGCAAAGCCGGCTACACAATCTGGCGACTTCAGGGGCGAGCGCTGGCGAATGGACTGGGATATTCTGTCCAAGGGACACCGATGGGAAAACCCATTGATGGGATGGCAGTCCTCGGGAGATTTCGTACAGGGAACCCACATCAACTTCAAGTCCAAGGAGGACGCCATTCGTTTCGCAGAGAAGCAGGGCTACGAGTACTTCGTCCAGGAGCCCAACTCGCGCAAGATTACACCTAAAGCATACGCCAACAACTTCCTATACTCACCCAAGAAGTTGAAGCACATCCGAACAAAATAGGGCATCAAACATGCGTGCCGATACATAAATATTAGATAAGGAATAGTGTATTAAAAATTCTGATTCACGAATGTGCCTTTTAAGAACTAAGCAGCGGTGTTGCTGTTCTGAGTTGTCCAATATATTTGAACCCTCCAATTCTACTTTATGGGCCAGAAGAAAACCGCTCTATGCGAGTTTTCTGTGATGAAATTGGTTCATGCATTCCGCCTTGGTCTTCTCCAAACCCCTATGATAACAGGCGTTGTTGCCATTCGGTTTCACGTAGTGCGTGTGCGAGTGTGTACGAATAATCGCGAGATATTATGTGAATTAATTGTCATTATAGTAGAATTGCAAGTTGCAATTTGATAGGGGTCGTAGTATTCATAAGCGTCATTGAATTGTTTAGGTCGTCACCATGGAATCATGTCCATTCTCTGAATTGGAACCTCGCCAGGCTTGATTCGAGGACTCTTCGCCTCTCAATCCTATATCGAGACGGTCTGGAAGGCTAGTGCCCTTCTCCCTCGCTGCACCTTCTGCCCAGGCTCGCATCTTGACAAGCTGGCGGATGGCGGCCTCGCGTCTGGTTGACTGCCTTTCCAAGATGGCCCGGTTCACCTTGTCCGCTGCATCACGGCGCAGACTAGGGTCAAGAAGAGCGGCCAATTGCGGTTCCAGGACGTCGGGATTAAATAGCAATAAAGCCATTGTTGTTTCCAGATCCTCTAAAAAGGCAGGGTTCGTGGAAGCACGTGGACCAAGTTGTTCCGTTGCAAATTTCAGGGCAGGACTGATATCTCCCCCTGATGCAGTGCACACTCGGATTAACTCGACGAGTTGAAGCCGCAGCAGAGAAAAGTGCAATGCGGTATCTTCATCCAGAATCTAAATCCCATGTTAGAACCGATGAGCTGGAAATGGAAGCCGAAATGCGATTGGTAACAAAGGATAGAAAAAGGGTAAAAATCATAAAAAAGTGGTGTTTCTCATCACGGGCCAGTAAACCGACCATATGCGTGGTGCATGTATAAACTCTTGTTTTAATCATATAAGGAGTGGGGGGCGTCAATGCGGATGATGATGCCACATACCTCAGGATCAAGTTCGTTAAGAGTCTCGATGGCAGTCTGAATATTCCCGCTATGAATGCAGTTCTGAATCTGCTGCCTGGCGCGGATGGCGGAGGTATCCTGTTGTGGCTGCAAGTTTGCCTCTTTCGAGAATCTTGCAGCCGCATTCGGGTAGCCCTCCATGGTCAAATAATCCAAAATCAAGGCATTAATATCACTAAAAGCTTGTCAATAATCCGTACCAGCTACAGCACCAGACAAGAGAGAAGAATGACAAAAATGCTTTCGAAGTGTTCAGGAAAAAAGAAGATTATATCGGATCTCCGCACAAAATGTCTCAGAGAGATTCCCATTGATATAGTGTTCATCATATAGATGGCATTGTGGTGTAGGGGAAAGAAGTCAGGGTTGGGCGCGCAGCTCATACATACTTTTTGGGAGACTTGACCCCCTCGACACGCCTCTCAAAGGCATGTTTAGCCGGAGTAGCTGTAGAAGCTGACGACATCTGCGCAGAGAGTCAGGACATGGAGCGGGGTGCAAAGTCCAGCAACGTCACGACATCGTACCATAGATCCGATCAACGGCCCTCCCGCAGGAAACCGGCAGAAGCTCTAGTTACGGTACGACAGCAGCGGATTTGTGAGAATAAGGAGGCTCATGGCGTGCGTGGGCAGCCAAAGAGGAAGCCGAGGATGCCACCGTTTCAGCGCATTGGCAAGCCGAGTCGTGGAACCGTGGGCTCGCGAACAGGGCGAAAGTGGTGGGAGATGGGAAAAGTTTGGTATGTGGAAGAGAGAGAAGCGATTTTGCGCAGAGGCGGAAGAGCAGCGACTGCCCTTTTTGGAGGTGGCCTAGCCCCGTTTACAGTAATCCAGGCGGACCAATAGCTGACGCGGACGCCCGCCAGCGCTCCACAGAAGCTTTTTGCGGCTGCGTTTGCCCTCTCTGGTGGGGGACTTTGGCAGCTAACATGAGAAGAGCATGGTAGAACGGGGCATGTGAAACTGATAACTGGGGGGGTTCCATCAGTAACGGAACCCTTCACGATGATAATGAGAGCAAAGAAAAAAAAGAGAGGAAAATTTTTTCATATAAAAAATAAATAAAAAGAAATGGGTATGATGCTGGGTCATTGTGTGGCATTGCACAGCGGGTGTTGCTGAAGCCAAACAGCTCTAGGAGTGCTTCAGTTAGTGCAGGTAGCCGCTGCGAGTACCTGGTCCCTGTACTGCTGAATGTACGTGCTGTAATCGTACTCGTCGGTATTCCGTCAGATATCAGCTTGGCTGGCAGCAGCATGCAAACTAAGGCTCAAAATAATCAAGAGTCTTCTGCACGCCGTAAACCTTTGGGTACCTATCGATAACTCGTAACTTGGTGCATGTCCCCTCGCCTCCTATTTGGTGCCAGTGGCCAGTCAAAGGACGCAAGGTACGGCACAGAGAAATGGGAGCACGAGACGAGGCTGGCTGATCAAAAGCCAACAACCACCATGTTCAGCTCCGCACACTAGACCATTCCATCCGCCAGCAGCCTCACTTCACAGCTTCCTCCTCCCAGGCTGCCAAAAGCCCTAGCCGCCTCTGCCTAGACGCCGCCGACCATGTGAGCGTTAGTTGTCCGGCACATGCTTACTTTACTTTAGGTGCTTGTGCCTCACCAAGCCCTATCAGACCTATCAGCGCGGCTTAAGCGTCGCTTGATGGGGTCTATCCGCCGTTACGTTAGCGGGCCAGCTGTAGAAGCGGCCATCTCCGTGCCACGCCCTCGAAGCCTCGATTCCGGTGGGCTACAGCAGAACTGCAGCCAGATAAGATTTCTTGTCCTGCACCCTGACCGTCAGTTTACATCTGATCTGTTCCGCCATCTGTTCTATCGATCGACATCGACCTTTGCTTGTCGCCTTTGTTCTCGCAAGCGCTCCTCAGCTCTCTCTCTCACTTCCAATCTCAGCAGCAAATCTATTACTGTACGGTCCTCGTACTGGCGCCAGCAAAAACTCGCGGGGTGGATCACGCGAGCCACTTCCCACTTCATCTACTCTTGTACCCTACCTAGGATAAAAGCAAAAGCGTAACCCTGTGCTTGACCTTGCTCGTAACAACGACCTGTCGGCCAATAGCCCAAACCACGTCCTGGCCGGTAGAAATGTCGCAGCTCGAGAGCCATGTCACGGTTCAGAAGCGAGCTTACTACTCTCCGCCATGGGCAGATGTTAGCATCATCGCCGTCGCTGGCAGCTCGGGCTCCGGCAAGTCGACGCTATCTCAGACGATAGTGAAGAAGCTCAACCTGCCCTGGGTTGTCATTCTATCCATGGCATGAACACTCTAGGGGAAGCATGGAGATTCGAAATGCCGTGGCTAACGACAAATCAGGACTCGTTCTATAAGACATTGACCCCTGCCCAATCCAAACTGGCATTTGCCAATGAGTACGACTTCGACTCACCAGATGTACGTTCCTGGATCCGATGCCGTTTCTCAATCTCCGTCAAAGATCAGACGCTTAGACCACTTACGTAGGCCATTGATTTCGATGCTCTGATTAACACTCTGCGAGATCTGAAAGCTGGGTAACCATGACCTACTACCTAATGAGACAGGTTTGGACACACTCATTAACCCAACGTCTGCAGAAAGCGAGCAGAGGTTCCTGTATATTCTTTCGCCAAGCATGCACGACTAGAGCACACCACATCCATCTATTCCCCGCACGTACTCGTTTTGGAAGGCATTTTTGCCCTCTACGATCCGCGGGTTCGTGAGTTGTGTGATATGGGAGTACGTCAGCCTCACGAACGATACCGTTGGACAGAATCTGACTTGGCTGTAGATTTACTGTGATGCTGATGCAGATACCTGCCTGTCGCGGAGAAGTAAGTATCTTCTTTGCCTGTAGAGTTGCCACTAAGTGCAGGTGCTCACCATTTACGCTAGTTGTTCGAGATGTTCGGGAGCGAGGCCGAGATGTTGAGGGCTGCATAAAGCAGTGGTTCGCTTTCGTGAAACCCAACTTTGAAAAGGTGAGACTTCCAAGTCAAGCTGCTGTTTGCCTATTAGGTGGATCTCTCGCTTACCACAGCCTGCCTGTTGTGAATCAGTTCGTCGAACCACAACGCAAAGTAGCGGATTTAATCGTACCCAGAGGAATCGAGAATCGAGTGGCACTTGGTGAGTCTAAGCCGATTCCTGCATGAGATCTTTCCATGGTTTTTTTTTTTTTGTGAACAATTTTACTAAGTGGCAATGTAAAGATATGATGGTCCAATTCATTGAAAAGAAGTTGTTTGAAAAGTCAACCCATCATCGTGAGGCTTTGGCTAGGCTTGAGGTCAGAGACAGAGACGAGCCTCTATCCGACCGTGTCGTAGTCATGAGCGAGGGGCCTCAAATCAAGTTCATGAACACGATTCTTCAGGACATAGACACATCGGCCGAAGACTTCATCTTCTACTTCGACCGCCTTGCCGCCTTGATCATTGAACAGTAGGTCTAGTCTAAGAGGCATGTTTGTCCTAGAGGGTGATGTATGTTGACTCGACTACAGGGCTCTGAACAACGTCCAATTCGAAGAAGCGTCCATCGAGACGCCACCTGGTTATACGTACAACGGTTTACGACCCAAGGGAGAGGTTAGCGCCGTGATTGTGCTCCGAGGAGGATCGGCCTTCGAGCCAGCCCTTAGAAAAACCATCCCGGACTGCAGAACAGGCAGGCTCCTGATCCAGTCCAGCTATTCAACCGGAGAACCAGAACTCCATTACCTGCGCCTTCCCGAAGACATCCACAAGCATGAGAGCGTGCTACTACTCGATACGCAAATGGCTAGCGGAGGAGCAGCTCTGATGGCAGTTCAAGTTCTGGTCGACCACGGCGTTGCACTGGAACGTATCGTCTTGGCAACTTATTCCGCAGGAAAAGTTGGCTTGCATAGGTTGATGACGGTATTCCCAGAGATCACGGCCGTGGTTTGCAATCTTCTTCCCCATGCAGAGCAGCGTTGGGTTGAGAAGAGATACTTTCGCTGCTGAGCGGCCTGCATTCTACCATTAAACATGACACTACTTACATATTATACAATGAGGCCAATCTTCGCTTTTCAGGCCTGGTGGAATAACAGGTGCCTGCTACTAGCAACGATGATGTTTCGATGATGGTGGTGATGATGACATGGGTGTACATGAACTGCGTGAGTGCGCGTGTGAACGAATGCTTGCATGATGAAGTGAGGTAAAAGCATCAGTGGATGTTTTTACATGGCACGCGGCAATCACATTGAATGATATGAAGAACCATCATTTTGAAGCTGTCCTTGAAGCTTGTGCGCAGCCTGTCGGAGGAGCTGCCGGGACGAAACCGACGTCGGCGACCGCGGCATCTCCGCGAGGCCGAAGCTCAAAGGGCCGACTTCCGGTGCGCGATGACTGAATATGGATCCTGCACACGCCGGCGAGCGATATTCTGGCTGTGAGAGGCAGACTTTTTTTTCTTCTCCCCTTGTCTAGCTGGCATTGTGTTTTTTCTTTTCTCTTTTCTCGGCCCTTTTAGTTGGTATATGTCGCGGGCATTTTCATTGCATTTGGCTTCCCGGCCTCATAATTAGCATTGCATCGAGTTCGAGTGCATTTATATACGGACACGCACTTAATAGTAATAATCAATCAATCAAAGTTGTCATTCAATCTCCAATTATACGCATCAACATACGTAGTAATTGAGTAATCATGTCCACTACGGTGTTGAGATGCCGAATCGCGCCGTGACATCAAAATCGACAAGTCCGTGGACATGGACAATTAATTCCCCTCCAACTCGGATTCAGTGGGCCGATTAGTTGGCACAGGCGGCGTTCCTGGTCGCTATTTCAAGATCCAGTGGGGACCTGAACATCAGTTAGTGACCATTCCTGGGAGGCTATGACGCCATGAGCTTTGCCCGGCATATCCAGAGTAGACTATATCAAGCACAAAGGGCCAACCATGATAAATCTCTCACTGTTGGATACAGTACCAAGTCACATGTTGATACACCAAGAAGCAGAAAACAGCTTCTCTCTTCTTCTTTGTCCAACTTATACCTAGTAACTACTAACCTAGTACATTACTTGCAACACCACCCGCAGGGAACGTGACACACAAGCTTCAAGCTATTCGTATTCGAATTCTCAGCAATCAATTGGCGCGAGGCACACCTTTGGGCCTCCATGAAGTAATCGCGTCGACTCCATTGACTCGTTGTGACTATGCCTCTGGCCTCAGCACAGCTGGGATCACTTCGCCTAGCAGCGGGCAGTATCACCAAGCAGCGTCTTTCCCTCAGCTCTCGAACGACCCTCCCCGCGACATGTTCGCAGCTACGGGCCTTTTCCAAACTCTACCCTCGAACTAGACGAACCCCCTTGGCAGCCAATTCAATCGAGCAACCCCAGTTGCAAACACACCCTCGACTTAGTCTCGTCTTCTCTCGCGCCTTGTCTGGAAAGCCACTGCCCCAGCGCAAGTCATGGCTGCTTAATTTCCTCTACCGAGCGGCGGCGTGGGTTGGCATTTCTATTACCGTCGTGGGAGGCGGCGTCTTTGCCTTCTTCCTCTACGATGCCAGCACGTACAAAGAACACGGCACGCAGAGCGACATTGACGTCTCGCAGCTTGCGCTACAGCCACGCCGCGGCGGCCCCAAGAATCTACCCATCGCAGAGGTCTACATCGATGACGATGAGACCAAGGCCAAGACCAAGCCCAGACTTGTTATCCTGGGCGGCGGATGGGGTGGCGTGGCGCTTCTCAAGGACTTGAACCCGGACGACTACAACGTCACAGTCATCTCTCCCGCCAACTACTTCCTCTTCACCCCTATGCTACCGTCTGCTACCGTGGGCACTTTGGAGCTGCGCTCTCTGGTTGAGCCCATTCGGCGGATACTGAGCCGCGTCAGCGGCCACTTTATACGTGCCAAGGCAGAGGACGTCGAATTCTCCCATAAGCTGGTCGAGGTATCTCAGCTTGATCACAAGGGGAAGGAGGTCCGCTTCTACGTTCCCTACGATAAGCTAGTCATTGCCGTCGGTTCCGCAACGAATCCCCATGGTGTCAAGGGGCTGGAGAATGCCTTTTTCCTCAAGGATATCAACGATGCGCGGATGATTCGAAACAAGGTCATCCAGAATCTCGAACTTGCCTGCCTGCCTACTACATCGGACGATGACCGCAAGCGGTTGCTTTCTTTCGTGGTTAGCGGCGGTGGGCCGACGGGCGTCGAGTTTGCCGCTGAGCTCTATGATCTTCTAAATGAGGACTTGACTCGACACTTCCCTCGTCTGCTGCGAAATGAGATATCTGTCCATATAATCCAGAGCCGTGGTCATATCCTGAACACGTACGACGAGACAGTTTCAAAATATGCAGAAGAGCGATTTGCTCGTGACCAGGTTGAAGTTCTTACGAATTCACGAGTCAAGGAGGTTCAGCCTGATAAGATCATCTTTAGCCAGAAGCAGGAGGACGGGTCTGTAATCACCAAGGAGCTCCCAATAGGCTTTTGCCTGTGGTCTACCGGCGTCTCTCCGACTGCTCTATCCCAGAAGCTGGCCAAGAAGCTGGGCGACAGCCAGACAAACCGACATGCTCTGGAAACGGACACCCACCTCCGCCTCAACGGTGCTCCTCTCGGCGACGTCTATGCCATTGGCGACTGTTCCACCGTCCAGAACAACGTTGCCGACAGCATCGTAAGCTTTCTCCGTAAGCTCGCGTGGTCGCGTGGGATTGAGCCGGAGACGCTTCAGCTGCACTTCTCCGACTGGCGAACTGTTGCACAGGACGTGAAGAAGCGCTTTCCGCAGGCGGTTAACCATCTCAAGCGTCTTGATAAGCTCTTTTTCGAATTCGACAAGGATCAGTCGGGAACTCTCGACTTTGGCGAGCTTCGGGAGCTCTTGAACCAGATTGATAGCAAGCTGACGTCGCTACCGGCCACGGCTCAGCGTGCCCATCAGCAGGGATTGTATCTCGCCCACAAATTCAACAAGATGGCTAAAATCTCAGACGCAATGCTGGCAAACGACATTCGAGATGGCGATCTAGACGCCGCCGTCTATAAGGCATTCGAATACCGCCACTTGGGCAGCCTGGCATATATCGGTAACTCGGCCGTCTTTGACCTAGGAGACGGCTGGAGCATGGCCGGTGGGCTGTGGGCCGTGTATGCCTGGAGGTCGGTCTACTTTGCGCAGAGCGTGAGCTTCCGGACAAGGAGCTTGATGGCTATGGACTGGATGAAGCGAGGATTATTCGGTAGAGGTATGTTTTTATTCATCGTTGATCCATTCATATTGAGCTGAGCACTGACAATTGGATTTCTAGATCTTGTGGCTTTTTGAAGCGATTAATATCACGATCATAAAGCGGAATAAATTAATAGTTGCACAAACGCGTTCTTCGGTCAGCGTTAAACTGCAAAAGACTTGAGGTTAGGTGTATATCTTCAGATTCCCAGGAGGAATACAAAATTTATAGGGACGTGTCAGGATTTGGGATGGGGGTTGGATATCTTTGAGATTTATATCATTCAAGTGTAGTAAATAGTAGAGGAAGCGTCTTCATTCCTAGCCGTTTTTATTGAAGAAAATATTACGACGCCATGATCTAATGTCTGTTTATTTAAGGAAAAGAAATGCAACGGGATATGCGAACGAAGAAATGAAAGAAAAAGAAAAAGAAAGAAAAATGCATCATCAGTCCGTTTATAGAACAAAGTCTTTGTGCGTCCACTTTTCCGTAACCTTGGTCTTGGCCTGCTTCTTGAACGGGATGTGTCTTCGGCTCTCCACCTTTCCTCTGAGCAGCAAGCTTCTGTATCGATCTTTGAGCAGGTTTCCCTCGGGCTTGAGCAGTCGCAGGGATTCCTGCAGCTCGTCCGGCAGAACAAGCTCCAGGTCCTTCTCCGGGAGCTTGTACTTGCCCAGCTGCCTCCTCCGCAGCTTTTCCTCGCCAATCTCGCTGTCGGCATCCGAGTCTTGCTCGGCGGCCTTTGCCAGCTCGAGGGCCTTTTCCTTCTCCTTTTCTGCGACTTCCGCCGCGATTTCCTTGATGCGCTGCTCCTGCGCGCGGCGGGCTTTCATGTTGGCCTTGTGCTGTGCCAGCTGCTCTTCCTCCTTTCTGCGCTTGATGCGGTTCCGCTGGGCTTGCGTCTTGCGCTTGGGCTGCTTTGCGCTGGGTCTCTCGTCCTCTACGCCGGACTGGAAGCCCTCCCATTCAGAGTCCTCCTCCCACTCCGACATGTTGGCCCGTTCCTCGGCGGCATCTGCTTCCGCTGCTGACTTTGCTGCGGCCTCTAGTTTCGCGGCCTCAGCGGCTTCGGCTTCAAGGCGCTTCTGCTCGGCTTCGAGAGCCTTGGTGCTCTCTTCGGCGAGTCTACTCTCGTACTCTGGGAAAGATGGGTTGTAACTGTATCCTCCTGTGGGCTTTGGCACCGCGGGAGCTTGTTTCCCGTTGGCGAGAAGGGAGAGGGGCTTCAGCTTCATGGACTTTGGAACTTTGGCCTCAATCTTTTCAGGCAGGAAATCCGTAGGATCTTGGGCCACCGGCGCAGGGGCATCCCATAGATCAAACGTGGCGTCTCTGACGGCGACGGTATTCTCGTGATGTCCATCGGCAACCTTCTTTAGACGGGCCAGATCCTTGTGGGAGACCCAATCTGTGCGCTGGCGCTTGGCGGGAACAACTCCATCGGTGGTTTTGTCGCTGGGACGCTTGCGCATGGAGACAGCGGGCACGGCGGAGCGCCTGTTGATGATCTCGTCGGCCTTGAGACCCTTCTTGACGTGCTTGGGGAATTTCTGGGGGATCTTGGAGTCGCCTGTTGTATCGATGGTGAAGAGGTCCTCGGACGCCTTCTCTCGAATAACACCACTTCCAAAGATGTTAGCACAAGTTCCTGCAGAGAGATTTCAAGCGCGGAAACTCCATACCCTCGGATAATCTCATTGTTGACCTCCTGCAGGCCCTCTTCCACCTCTGTCACATCCACGTTCTTCCTCCATGCCTTTTTTCCTTTCCTCGAGGGCTGGTTGAATTGCTTGGGCGCCTCGCCAGAGCCGGCAGTGGCCGACCGAAGGACAGGCATTTTGTTTCTTTTGTGCAATTGACTTGGTGATATGAGTCGTGATGCTTGAACACCTTCAAGTCAATAGTAGGATGTCCCAGTCGCAAATTTACTTTGGGCAATCGAATCTTATCGGCAGCTTTTCTCGAGATTTTTTAGCGGGTCCCCCACCAAATGGAAAAGTACATTGTACTTCGTCCCTGCTTTTGCTGCTCATGCCAAAAAAGCAAGCCTGGAAAAAGACAACATTCGAACGCTAGTCCCAATGAGGGGGCGTATAGAACAGTTAGGATAGCGGGGCATGCGGAGGCCGAGTTTCTTCTGCTGTCCAACCCAAAGTGGCTCTTGGTTTGTCTGCTATTTATTAACCCGGAGCCTGGTGGCGGTCATTATCATTGTCACCTCCTTTCAGGTTGCCCAACATTTCCAGCTCGAGCAAAAGGCAAGAGATCGATACCGGAGACGACCGAGACCTTTGTCTTACAGCAAGAAGAACTCAGCTCCAAGCAATCACTAACAGCAAAACAATTGCAAGCATTGCCTCTGCCCCTCAGAAAGCAACCCAACTGGCCTTGATTTGGCAGCCTCGGAATCTCCAAGCAAGCATCACACGCCACTACACGCAGCAGCAGCAGCCATGGCGCAAACCGGAGGATCCTACAACAACCCCTTGAAGAAGTTCAAGTATGCGTCCCCGTTTGCCCATTCATTGACTCCCTACCAGTCATTAATGCTGATTTCTATTCAGGCTGGTCTTCTTAGGGGAACAAAGCGGTATGTGTCTCTTGTCCGGCTCCACACTATATCTGTCGATTTGGTGACTGACCGAGTTTACGGCACAGTGGGCAAGACGTCCCTGATTACCAGATTCATGTACGACTCGTTCGACAACATGTATCAGGCAACCATTGGTATCGATTTCCTCTCCAAGGTACGAAACCCCGATCCGTTCAAGCTAAGCTGCCGGTGGACGAGCCTAACATGTGGACTCAGACCATGTATCTCGAGGATCGGACGGTACGACTACAGCTGTGGGATACCGCAGGCCAGGAGCGATTCCGAAGCTTGATCCCTTCATACATCCGTGACTCGAGCGTTGCCGTTGTTGTCTACGATATCTCTAGTATGGAATGCTCTGCCTTTGTCCCTTTATACCGCCAGAAACCCCCCCTCCCCCAAACTCGCGGTGAAGCCCCACCATATTCGCATCGTAGACTAACAACGCATATCTTTTCCTAGACGCAAAATCATTCCAAAACACCAAGAAGTGGATTGATGACGTCCGGGCAGAGAGAGGAAACGACGTTATCATTGTCCTGGTGGGCAACAAGACCGATCTTAATGATAAGCGAGAGGTCACAACCCAGCAGGGAGAGGAGGAGGCCAAGAGACAAGGTCTAAGATTTGTTGAGACAAGTGCCAAGCTTGGTCACAACGTACAAAACCTCTTCAAGAGAATAGCACAGGCACTGCCTGGCATGGAAGGCTCTGATGCAGCTGCCCAAGCAACCAACCAAAGTAAGCCCCTTTCTCTCTCTCTCTTCTCTCTCTCCTTATATCTACCTCATTAGCACGGACGATGCCGTTGCGTCCCGATTACTCTTTGGTGGCATTCTAACTAACCCCTCTTTCTCTCACAGTGATTGATGTGCGGACGAACACAACAGCGCCTCCCCAGGAGGGTTGCTCGTGCTAAGCCAAGATGTTGAGTCCGTAATAGAGTTTGAAACGCCCGACAAGACAACCGACCAGTATCCCCATTTCAGCGTCGCTTCGAAGTCACGATGCATCAATGCCTAATAATAGGATATCAATTCGAAATTTGGCCAGTGCATGGGACTTGTATAATACCTGCAAACGGGGACAACGTGCCCACGATCGTTTATACACATACTAATAATCTTTTACTTGCTGAATTAAGCGCTACAACTTCTTTTTATGGCCCTTTGTCATCATCTCCCGCTAGTGAAAGAGCAAGATATTGTGTGACTTTTCCTATCCCTGCATGTATATTGCCCCATCTCAGATGCTTGATATCATCTCTTTTTATTGTTGTTGGCTTTCCGCAAAATAGAGCTCCTCATCCGGAACCGCCCGGTGTAATAATAGCTTCAGCTAAGGTATGTAGGTATATACCGCACAGAGGAAGTTTGGCTAAAGACACAAGAACCTTGCTAATGACCAAACAACAATACGAATTGGCAGTCTGCAGAGGAACAGCAGATTTAGTGGATCGATTAAATGCAACAGAGTGTGATGATGTGCGTGTAACTGCTCATGCCATTGGATAGACCAGATACTGTCAAACAAAGCCTGAGCAAGGTCATCACGGCTGAAAGGTACAAAGCTACATACAAGTTACTTCGGACGTTCGCCCGGTGACGTGATGGTGGATCTGCGCCCAGCGACAAAAATTTGCCCTGCCCAAGAGGCCTCGCTTTGGTTCGCTACGGGCTTCCCGAGCTGAAGCTGGCTCATGTGATATATCATGTGATTGTGTCAGCTTGGCCCCGATGTGACTGGCTGGATGACTGCCGTTGTGGGACCCGTGTGCACAGATCCAGCTAAGCGCGCTTGGAAGGCTCTCCTTGTCGCAATCATCTCCGCCGTCGCCGAAACTTTCAAGATCTCATCGCTTCTCCCGTTATCCTCTATCTTTCGGCGTCTTCACTTTGTTTCTTGTCTATTCTTGCGATAGACTTGTTTGATTTCTTTTTTATCAGTATAGACGACAATCGCGACGGGCACTCTGTTCATAATGTCCAAATTTACGAGGCTGTATCTGCGGATACCTCGGCCGAAGGTAGGTCACACGTGGAATCCTCTCTCCTTCTCTCTCCCTCTTTGATAGGAGATATTCATCGGGAGATGGTTCAAGCGATGAAGAGTGTGAAATTTTGGTACTGACAGTCGCGATTAGACCCTCTTCGGCCTCATTAGCCTGCAGACTGGCACTGAATTGATTTCCTTGGCATTGGTCTTCAACAAGGTTACGGGCGTTTACGGTCTTCTTGCGATCCTCACCGGATTCCAGCTCTCCCTCTTCCAGCTTACAACTTACGTCTACTGTATTGGCGTTCTCGGCCTCCTCGTCTACCTGATCCCGCATATCCGAAAGCAGAGCCCGTTCGAATGCCTGGCCCTGGCGTGGCTGTATGTCATCGATGCCATCATCAACGGCGCTTCTACAGTGGCTTTTGGAATGGACTGGTACTTCGCCACTGCTTCATCAAACGGATCTAGTCTGCCTGATATGGTTGCTGAGGGCATGGAGGGTCTCCGTCGCGAAACTGCCGTGCATGGCGATGTTGTACCTCAAGAGACAGCCGCCAGCATGCTCTTGATCACTGGCTTAACCCTGATCAGAGTCTACTTCAGTCTGGTCGTCATGAACTATGCACGCCAGGTGCTGCAGAAGTATATGCAACTGATGATCCTTGAAGGACCTGGCGTCGACGATCACGTGGGCCCCTTTGCTGCGGACCTGCCTGACGGTGAAGGACGAAAAGGTCAGCTCGGTCGACTGATGGTGTCTTTCGGGCGCAACTACTGGATGGATTACTCTGAGGCGAGAGAATGGGTTGAGGGTGGTAGCAGCCGGAAACCCAGCACGGTAGCAACTCTGGCTGGCGAAGTATGAGAGGGATACTCCGTAGATAGACAATCTTTCAGTTACTGAGGTTGAGGGAAAGGGATGAAACAATAGGGATGGAAAGACATGATGTGAATGGAAAGACTGGGGTACGAAATGACGCGATCGGAACCCCGCGATTCATCATCGAGAGAAAAAATCTCGGCACGGTTGGGTTTTCACTGTTTTGGGTAGTCACGAGCGTGGCCTTATTTAATACAATAATTAATAGCACTATTCGGTATGCTTATTTGGGGGCCTTGGGCAGGCAGAGAAGACGCCGAGGGCCGGGCCATGCAAATCGCTCGGCATTCGGAGGTACTAACGATTGGCTGCCAGCCGTTACCGGGCGTTGGAGTCTGGCAGACGAACGAATGAGCGAATGAGGACGTGAGTGTGGGCTCGGCTCGTCGGTGCCTTTGGGGGAGAGACGGAAGTCGGAGGGAGCTTTGATGGGTCCAAGGTGGTGCAAGGACGGTGCCAGAAGGGCTAATCCAGGGTCCGGTGCAGTCTAATAACGAATAGATGAGTGATGGATGGTCGAACAAGCTGTTGAAATAGAGGCAATGCGGCATGATTGCGGCGAGAGCGGCGGTCCATCAGGTACTGAACTGGGTTTAGTGTTGATGGCGTCAGCGAGCAAGCAACGATTGTGCTTTTGCTTGTGAGGATCAAGATTTTGTATGATTGGCACTATTTACGGGATTGATACGGAGGTTACAGTTTTGTATATGGACAATTATAGGTAGCCTGTGTCAGTCAATGTCAGTACAACTTATCGTGTCTTCTGGCTCTACCTTGTTCTGGCTTATCTAACCAATCTAAGCAATCTTGATGCCTTAGTGCTCAGTGCTCCTTTGCAACGTAAAACTCCATCTCCAAAAACCCAGCAATTATCCGCCCTTCCCACGCCTCAACATTCCCACGTCCCACCGCAACGAATCTGACGGCAGGGATTTGTCAGAGAGCGATTTCGCCATCGCCGCCGTCCTATGGCTGCCCTATGGCTGCCCTTTGGCGGGTGGCGCCCACGCAAGACTGTGCAGACCTCCAAGCGCTAAGCGATCACGCAATCCTCCAAAACTCGGGCTTCTGCGGGGAATGGAAATTTGGCTGAGGCAGTCAGTGGAGCCTCGAGACATGGTTGTGGCTCAAGGAAAAGAAAAGCTTAGGGGAGGACAGCTGCGAATTGATAGAGGGAAAACGAGAAACAGACGGTAACGGCATCGGCTGAGGGTGACATGGCTTGTTGAATTGGTGGACTAGTCATCTTATAACTCACCATTCCTCTCGCATCGTCGTTCACTAGGCCTCTTCCTAAGGGCTGTTTCAATTTTTTACTTCTCCCTCACTCCCTTTTCTTTCCTCATTCTCCATCGTCACTTGCCTCTTCTTTCCATCTTTTAGGGATCATAATCTCGAAAAGTGTTGGATTGATCCTGGAGGCCGACGACGAAAACGGGCATGGCGACCTCGGTTCACATCCGCACGCCTGAAGAGGCTGGTAAGTTTGTGTCTGCTATGGATGATGGGAATATCTTCCCTCTCTACCACTTCCCTTCTTCTTGAATTCCACTGTAAACACCTCTATCTCATCGAAACTGGGCTAACCTGTTGTTTCTCTGTTGCTTTTTCGTCTGTGTAGCTGCGAGAATCGCCTACCTCTCTAGCGATGTCGTCATTTCTGTCCAGCCTTCATTGGCTGCCGACTCTGAGTTTTCCTCTCACTTGAAGAAGTTTGCTAGCCGCAAGGACCGTGGAATTGTTGCAGCTACTGAAGATACCATTCCTGAGGTGAGTGTCTGACTGCCCATGCTTGTTGTTTTTGTCTTTTTTCGCTCTTTTACCCACTTACATATTCAACCCACTACAATGACGACGACCCGATCCTGGTCCGCCGACAGTCCGAAAAAAAGTCAAAAAGCAATAGGAGCTCACTAACCACAACCCGATTTCTAGATACAACATATTCGTCATAACAATGACCCGTTGCTGTCTGTCTTTGCTCCTGCTCGGTCAGGCAAGCTCGTCTCTGTCACGACGACTTCTTCTATCTTACTCCCTTCCATCTCTCATCTTTACAAGCTCGCCAACTACCCTGTTGTCCTTCATGTCTCCCTCCAGCCCCGCGGCTTTGCCGACTTCTCTGTCATCACTTCCATCAGAAACTCAGGCTGGACCTTCCTACAGTCTGAATCTCTTCAGGAGGCACAGGACATGGCCATCACTGCTCATGCCCTAGCTCTGCGCACTAGCAAGGCTGTCATCCATTTCTTCTCTCCAGACACTTCGGCTCGTGATGAGCCCATCGGCCTAGAAGATTTCTCAGTAGTGCGAGCTGTCCTTGACATCGATACTGTCAGGAGACTCCAAGCTGGCACCATCAAGGCCTCTGGACTGTACGCCGATGACGGACATGTTGCCATTTCCTCAGACCACCAGGAGGCCGAGTCTTCTGGTACCGTCGACAAAGCATCGACCCTTCAGCAATCGACCGCCAGTCTCGCTTCGAAAGCAGTATCTGAGTTGTCCGCCAAGACCAGCCAGGCGAGCAGCTCCAGCACCCCCACCGGATCCTCATCAGTTGCCACCACTGTAGAGATTGCTGCTCCCCAGGTGACATCCGAAGATGTCTATGTCTGCGCCACTCGCATCTGGGCACAGCTGAACACGGCTCTTGGGCGACAGTACAACGCCTTCGAATACACTGGACCGGCCAATGCGGAGAACTGCCTCTTCATCTTCGGCTCCGACACCGGTTCCTTTGCTCAAGCCATCGACACTGCTAAGGCTGATGACGTTTACGCCAAGATTGGTATTCTTACACCTCGCCTGTACCGACCATGGATTGGCTCCAAGCTCGTGGCAAGCATCCCCAAGTCGATTAAGAGGATCGCTGTCCTGGAGCAGATTCACCGAAAGACAACCAAATGGGGTCCCTTGTTGATTGATGTTTTGTCGTCTATCAAGAGCGGCCCTGGTGGTGTTGAGACTATTGTTGGCCACCAACTTGGATACATTGCCCCTGAGGCTACTACTCAGGCTCTGCGTGGCATCGTTCAAAATCTCACGGCCGCACAGCCCATCCAGAACCTGGAAGTTGGTGTCAAAGAGGGACCAAGCGAGCCAGTTGCAGCTGGCGTGGAGGCCCCGAAGCTCGAGGTTGCTTATTCCAAAATTCTTGACCAGCTTTTCGGCAGCAGAACCTACATTGCCAATGCCCTAGAATCTCAAAACGCTGGTATCTCTGCCACTGTAGCCGCCAGCCCCGAATTCGGCTTCGGATCTCTATTGGCCCGCAAGGAATTGCGAACCAGATTTGTGGCCGAGGTTAAGCAAGCGGCAAGCAGCACTGGGGCTGCTACTGAGGCTCTGAAGAGTTGGCTCGCGCGATGGGCCGTCAACTCTGATGACCAGGCAAAGTCCGACGTGATCTCTGATGACGTTATTGCCAAGTTGGAAGAAGATGGCTCGCCAGCAGCCCAGAAGCTTCTCTCGAACCGTAACCTTTTCCGAAAGGAGTCTCTCTGGCTGATGGGCTCTGATGCTTGGGCTTACGATCTCGGCAACTCTGGTGTTCACCATGTTCTTGCGTCTGGTGAAAATGTGAACATGCTGATTATTGACTCAACTCCCTACTCCGAAAAGGCCGTGGCCGACGCCAACCGAAGGAAGAAGGATATCGGCCTGTACGCGATGAACTTTGGCAATGTCTACGTGGCTTCCACCGCTGTCTACAGCTCATACACTCAAGTTTTGCAGGCACTGCTCGAGGCAGACAAGTTCAACGGTCCATCAGTTGTCCTGGCCTACTTGCCCTACTTTGGCGAGACTGACTCGCCTCTCACCGTTCTGCAGGAGACCAAGAAGGCTGTGGATGCTGGATACTGGCCTCTCTACCGATGGAACCCTGATAACGAGGCCAAGGGCGAGCCCGCCTTTTCCCTGGACTCGGAGCTCCTTAAGCAAGAGCTGAAGGCTTTCCTGGCTCGAGACAACCAACTGACTCAAATCATGAAGAAGGAGCCTAGCTTCGCTGCCAACCTTGGCCAGGACTTTGGAACTGAGGTCCGGGATGCACAGAAGAGGAAGGCAAAGGATGCCTACAACCAGCTTCTCGAAGGCCTTCTTGGCGCTCCTCTGACCATTTTGTTTGCTTCTGACAACGGTAACGGCAGCACACTCGCCAAGCGATTGGCTAACCGAGGTAGAGCTCGTGGCTTGAAGACAGCGGCGATGGCTATGGAAGATTACCCCGTCGAGGATTTGCCAAGCGAGGAAAACATTGTCTTCATCACCTCCACCGCCGGACAGGGAGAGTTCCCTCAGAACGGATTGGCTTTCTGGGATGCTGTAAAGGACAACACCGACCTCGACCTGGCTGGCGTCAACTACTCCGTCTTTGGCTTGGGTGACAGCCACTACTGGCCGCGAAAGGAGGACAAGATCTACTACAACAAGCCAGCCAAGGATCTTGACAGAGTTCTGGGTAACCTGGGCGGCAAGCGGTTTGTGGACATTGGCTTAGGAGATGACCAAGATCCGGACAGCTTCCAGACCGGCTACCAGGAGTGGGAGCCCAAGCTGTGGCAGGCACTCGGTGTGGACAAGGTCGACGGTCTTCCTGATGAGCCGCCGCCAGTTACCAACGAAGACATCAAGCTTGAGTCAAACTTCCTCCGTGGCACCATTGCAGAGGAGCTGAGGGATACATCCACCGGAGCCATCTCAGCCGCCAACTCTCAGCTGACCAAGTTCCACGGCACCTATCTCCAGGACGACCGTGATGTCCGTGACGAGAGAAAGGCTCAGGGCCTGGAGCCTGCCTATGGCTTCATGGTTCGCTGCAGATTGCCCGGTGGTGTTGCGACGGCCGCGCAGTGGATCCAGATGGACGACATTAGCAGCAAGCTTGGTAACGAGACGATGAAGCTCACTACTCGCCAAACCTTCCAGTTCCACGGTGTCATCAAGGGCAAGCTACGATCCACCATGCAGGCCATTAACCG